GGAAAAAGTGAAATGATGAGGTGAAGTGAAGTGAAGTGAAGTGAAGTAAAGTAGAGTAAAGTAGAGTAAAGTAGAGTAGAGTAAAGTAAAGTAAAGTAAAGTAAAGTGAAGATAAGTAAAGTAAGTAAGTAAGTAGTTAGTAAGTCAGTAAATAAGTAAGAAAGAAAGTAAGAAAGTAAGTAAAGTAAAGTAGAGAAAAGTGAAGTAAGTAAATTTTATTAAAGCAACATTGTGTTTTGTGAAGTATTATTGTTGATTGGTAACCTTTTAATATTTAAATCTTGAACGGTCATCTATAAAATGAAAAAAAAAATCAAACAAACAAAATACACACCCCATCCCAATTAAAATACAAAAACAACAACTGATACATACGATTCCAGTTGTCACAGGCAGCATAATTACAGAGGTCAGTGTGATCACAACAAACAACGCACGATGATGAGAACGCATTTTTCAATGCTGTGCATTGCTGAAGATAGGACAAAAAGTTGCAATTTACCATCAAAAATCAAAATGAACGACCGTTATATAATGGCAAGCTCGAGCGTAATTAGCATAATTTGAATTAAAGTATACAATGATTTGAGTTAAAGTATACAATAATTTGAGTTAAAGTATACAATAATTTGAGTTAAAGTATACAATAATTTGAGTTAAAGTATACAATAATTTGAGTTAAAGTATACAATAATTTGAGTAAAAGTATACAATAATTTGAGTTAAAGTATACAATAATTTGAGTAAAAGTATACAATAATTTGAGTAAAAGTATACAATAATTTGAGTTAAAGTATACAATAATTTGAGTAAAAGTATACAATAATTTGAGTAAAAGTATACAATAATTTGAGTTAAAGTATACAATAATTTGAGTTAAAATATATGTAAACAATTTTGCCTGAGATTCTTATTTGGTTAAAGAGACTTGAACTTTACTGTAACTTAATGTAGCGTTCTAATAAGATCCGATGTTACTTATCTATAAACGTTAGGAGACAAATATAATTACATAATCAGGAAATCTCAATGACACAATGATGTTACATCGTTGCCCCCTTTTTTAAATTTTACTAACTAATGTTAAATCTAAAGTCTACCCGAATGGTATCAAATTAACAAACTAATATGACAACTTTAGCAAATGAATGGTACCTGTTCAATACTTTCTCGTTTCCGGACTGATGTAACCGCGTTACCAGTCTAACTAAACAGCGTTACCGGACTAACTTAACCACGTTTCCTGACTAATTTAACCACGTTACCAGACTAACTTAGCCACGTTACCAGAATAACTTAGCAAAGTTATCAAACTATTTGAACCACGTTACCAGACTAACGTAACCACATTACCGGACTAACGTAACTAAGTTACTGGACTAACTTAGCCACATTACCAGACTAACCTAATCACGTTACCAGACTTACTTTACAACGTTACAAGACTAACTTAACCACGTTTCCAGACTAACTTAACACGTTGCCGAACTAACTTAACCACGTTTCCAGACTAACCGGACCACGTTACCAGCCTAACTTAACCGCGTTACCAGCCTAACTATACCACGTTACCAGACTTACTTAACCACGTTACCGGACTAACTTAACAACGTTACCAGCCTAACTTAACCACGTTACCGGACTAACTTAACCACGTTACCAGGCCAACTTAACCACGTTAGCAGACTAACTTGACCACGTTACCAGACTAACTGGACCACGTTTCGAGACTAATTTAACCACGTCACCAGACTAACTTAATCACATTACCAGACTAACTTAGCAACGTTACCAGACTAATTTAACCACGTTACTAGACTAACTAAAGCACTTCACCAGCCTTACTACAGCACGTTACCAGACTCACTGAATCACGTTACCAGACTTACTTAACCACGTTACCAGACTAACTTAACCACGTTACATGACTAACTTAACTATATTACCGGACGTACTTAGCCACTTATCCAGACTAGTTTAACCACGTGACAAGACTAACTTAACCACGTTGCTGGACTAATTTAACCACGTTGCTGGACCAATATAATCACGTTACCAGATTAATTTTACCACGTTTACAGACTAATTTCACCACTTTACCAGGCCAACTTAGCCACGTTGCCGGACCAATTTTACCACGTTTCCAGACTAATTTAACTATGTTAACTGCATTACCAGTTTTACTTAGCCACGTTACCAGACTAACTTAACCACGTTACCAGACAATGTATACTTAAATTGGACAATTAATCTTTAAAGGGACTCCACTGAGCTGAGGTTTTTGACCTGACCGGACTTTAGTTTTTTTTTTGTCTTTTGCATTACATTGTGTCCTGAGCGCTCCAATTGATCTCGGTAAGAAATTAAAATTTTATGTTTTCGGTTTTTGAACCTCCGTTGAGTCCCTTTAATGTTTAAGATAATATTCATAATCGTTTTTGAACCTCGGTGGAGTCCCTTTAATGTTTAAGTTAAGATTAGTCTTTTTATATTATACATACCAATTTACCCATGCAGCCTAAATCATAACGAATGCTGTAAGTGGCGGTGTTTGGGTTGAGTCCCTTGTGCACATAACAAAACTAAAATAAAACAAACTAAAATTATAACACGTTATATGAAATAACAATGTTTTATTACATACTTGAAAAATTATGAAAATTGATGAAAGAAAATGAGTATTTTCATTTTCTGTATTTTCACTGCAAACAATTTATTTTTACTGCATATTTTCGGTATATTTAATGATGTCTTGAGAAGTTGCAGCACTTTGAAATCAGTTTTGATGGAAAAACAACGCAAAATAGTGATATTTGGCAGTTTTGAGACGTTCCCCCGTTGCCTTGGTAACAGGAAATTTAAGATTGAGCATGCTGGTACAAAGGCTATATATATGGTCCAGTCAACATTTGTGCCAGTTTGATCAGTATTCAACAATCCAACAAACTACAACGCATTCAAAGTTTAAAAGTAGCATTGGCTTAAAGAATTGTCAATAAATGCACAATCACATATTACGCGGATGAATATGATTTTAATCAATGAAAGTGTTATTTTTAGCGATGTCGATTACCGAATACTACACAAATAAATCTGACTTATATACATTCTTCATGTCAGACCGTTTTGGCGAGAAGATTTTCGCTAAATTATTTACTTCAATTTAAAACAACAGGTTTATCGTGAACAAAATACCTCGAAATTAATAAGGATTACAGACCCGAAATGCAATAGAAATTCTAAAATTAGAATTACTTGATTTTATTCAGAGCTGTTCGTATAACTTCTCCGTGGTGAAGTGGTAACGCGCTCGTGTAGTGTGTGAGAGGTCTGGGGTTCAAATCCCATCGAGGATTTTTTTATGTGTCTTTGTTAAGGAAGTATGCAAGGATAAAGTGTGGCTGTCATAAAAAATGAACATAAATGACTTTTTGATCCAACTCTAGTTATGCAAAATTCCGTATGTATCAAACTTTGGTGCCTGCAAGATGAATTACAGTGCATAAAAATAAACTTATACAGGAAAATACATACAGATATACAGTACGATTTAGATTGCAAAGATCAGAAAATTCCACAGAACTTGTAACAGGAGGCTTTCAATGAAAACAGTCATTTTGCGAAGCAATGGGTTAATATATAGCACGTAAAGCTCTGCACGTTCTAAATATAGCTCTGCACGATCTAAATATAGCTCTGCTTGTTCTAAATATAGCTCAGCACGTTCTAAATATAGCTCTGCTCGTTCTAAATATAGCTCTTCTCGTTCTTAATATAGCTCTGCTCGCTCTGCTCGTTCTAAATATAGTTCCACTCATTCTACATATAGCTCTTTACGTTCTAAATATAGCTCTGCACGTACTAAATATAGCTCTGCTCGTTCAATCTAAATATAGCTCTGCACGTTCTAAATATAGCTCTGCTCGTTCAGTATATAGCTCTGCATGTTCTACCTACCTGATCTCTACCACATTCTGTCACACTTTCGCAATCTTTCGGATCTTCTTTATCTAAACAAGACAGACACCGTAGATTCGTTGATGGCGCTGCAATATAATTATTGGAAATTTGGAATGGAAAAACACAGTTATGTATTATTTTGAATGTCATATATAATTTGCAATAAAGAAAACATCACATTATTATATTAATAACAATTTAATAATAGCAATAATGATAAGGATTATAATAATAATAATAATAATTATAATAATGACGATGATAACAATAAGAATAATGATAATAATAATAATAATAATAATAATAATAATAATAATAATAATAATAATAAAAAATAATAATAATAATAATAATAATAATAATAATGATAATAATTATAACTATAATTATAATAGTAATAATAATAATAATAATAATAATAATAAATAAAAAATATAGTAATAATAAAAGTAACAAGGATATTAATAATAGTAGTAATAAAAATAAAAATAATACTAATAATAATAGTTATAACTATAATAATAATAATAATAATAATAATAATAATAATAATAATAATAATTATAATAATAATATAAATAATAATAATAATAATAATAAATGATAATAATAATAATTATAGTAATAATAAAAATAACAAGGATATTAATAATAATAGTAATAAAAATAATAATAATAATTATTATTGTTATAACTATAATTATAATAATAATGATAATAATAATAGTAAATAATAATAATTATAGTAATAATAAAAATAATAAGGATATCAACATTGATTACAATCAAAAAGGTTTACATTGGTTATTTGTTTGAAAGTCACTATTGATATATTATTTCATGTCAAAGATTGTGATTATATTTGATGTTTCATAGCTAAAAATAATTTTTGTCTTACTTTTTACTTTCTTATTAAAAGGACATGATATACCTTTTTTCAAAAGAATTATTCCATTCGGTGTAGGTCAAGAGCAATAACTTGTGCGCAAAATTTCAGATTATTTGCAACGCTTTTTACCGGAATTGGGCTAAGGAATGGTACAAAAATACGATTTTCAATTTATATCTGAGTATAATTTAATTTTCATGTGTCCTCAGTTGAGTTCGTATTGTGAAGGTCCTTGTTATTGCATATAATTTTATCACCTGATATTAGAAGTAACACATACTTTCTATGAAGTTTTGTTTCAATGATAAAACTCATTGATTTGAATATGAACACCGAAAACAAAACATAATTACTATGTTTATTAAATTTTCTTACGGGAGCCACAGAGGTCCTTGTTGCATTCATCTCCGGAATCACAACACTGGGTACAAAGATTCATATCACCATTTGAATCACGTGTATTTTTATCACGTGACTGAATAGCACGTGATTCCACCTGAAGCGACAAGCTATTGGACGTATCTCTTTTACCCATAGCAAACATTGAAGCTTGTTGTCCAAGACACACCTGTGAATGTTAGATTAAGAGATGTGTACACATATACCTAAATACAGACTTTTGAATGATAAATAGAAACTGATATGGACACATATATCTAAAAATAGACTTGTAAATGATAAATATATAGAATGATATACACATACATGTACATCTAAAAATAGACTTTTGGATGATAAATAGAAAGTGATATAGACACACATATCTAAAAATAGACTTGTAAATGATAAATAAATAGTCAGATGTACACATATACCTAAATAAGACTTTTGAATGATAAATAGAACTTGATATAGAAACATATATCTAAAATAGACTTGTAAGTGATATATAGATAGATTGATATACACATTAACCTAAAAATACACTTTTGAACGATAAATAGAAAGTGATACATACATAATACAAGACAGTTCTATGTACACTTAATAGAAATATATGTTCGTATATTTTACACATACACTTTGCACACTAATAGGTTTTTGTGGTTTACAGTACAGTAACAGAATTTACCTTGTATTGATTATTCTTATCAACATGGCATATTTCAATCTACGATCCAGTTTATGATAGGGTAAAGAAAATAAGAACTTGGCTGAAGTTGACAATTTTATTTTAACAATCATGTCAGCAAAATGATGCCAGATTTTATATTTTACAATCGCTGTCTCTTCATACATGACAAATACTGTTTAGTTTCAAGATGCTGAGGTGAAACTTTGTTTACAACACAGGATGTGAATAAAATTAAGTTATAAACTTCCTATAAATGATTATATGTATCTTACATTTCTATCAATGCAGCCAAGCACGTAATATTGTTTCAAGTTCGTTCCGATTTTACGCTGCACGTAGCAAATCTGTAAAATAAAATCATTATGTAAACGAACACACTAAGCTAAATGTTTCCATTTTGTCTTTTAAACACGTTGTTTACTGTCCTTATTATATCAATGAAGGACTTAGTCTGATGTCCCCATTATCTAATAAAAATCTTCGTTTACTGTCCTTATTGTGTCAATGAAGCTATCCGTTTACTGTCCTCATTTTTTTTTAATGAAGGACTTAGTCTTAATTTCTTATGTTCGTATTAAGTAATAAGGCTCTCGGTCGGTTTACTGTCCTTATTATGTCAAAGAAGCACTCCTTTTACTGTCCTCATTATGTCAATGAAAGACTTAGTCTGATGTCCCCATTATGTGATAAAGCTTTTCGTTTTCTGTCCTCATAATGTGAGTGAAACAAGCAGGATACTGTCCTGACTATGTCAATGAAAGACTTAGTCTAATGTCCCCATTATGTAATAAAGCTCTTCGTTTACTATCCTCATAATGTCAGTGAAACACGCAGGTTACTTTCCTGATTATTTCAATGAAAAGACTTAGTCTGATGTCCCCATTATGTAATAAAGCACTTCGTTTACTGTCCTCATAATGTCAGTGAAACACGCAGATTACTGTCCTGATTATTTCAATGAAGAACTTAGTCTGATGTCCCTATTATGTATTAAATCTCTTCGTTTACTGTCCTCATTTTGTGAAAAATGAAACACGTAACTTACTGTCCTTGTGTCAATGAAGGACTTAGTCTGCTTCGCCCATTATGTCAATGAAACACTCCGATTACTGCCCTCAATCATTATGTTCATGAAACACGCAGGTTAACGTCCGTGTTATGTCCATGAAACACTCAATGTATTGTATGAATAACAGATAAAGGTAATATCGCGAATGTTTGAATGAAAATGCATACAAATGTGCCCGACAGGACAGAACATTTGAAACTAAGGTTCAAAACACATCGCACGATTACAAGTCTAACGCAGTCCAAATACACAGCTTATATTTACTGTTCTTGTTCATTTGTACAATTCCTGATAAAACTATGAACCTGAAGTTTGTTTAATAAACAAAACTGAATTATAGCATTAATTTATAGTTGATTTTGTTATATTTTAATAAAATAAACCAAGTGAATAATGTCTTGAGATTTTGGAACAGCTGAATCAGCATACTTCGTGAGAACCGCACGTTGCAAGTCGTTGGCAATCACGTGCCTCCACCACGTTGTCACATGACAGACACTGTAAAGCCTCGCTCGTGGTAATTAGCAACACCAATACAAGAATGCTGGACGTAATTACTAGAAATAAAAACCGTTATAAAAATAAATCAACATTTAAATCATGTCACGTACACACACGGTTATTGACCAAATTTGTAAATAAATACATGGGCGTATTGTCCGACAATGTTGACCTGACACTCTTTCATTTGACCCTATAATCGGTAAGTTCCGGAAAGGTTACCATCTACTTGATACGAATCAATATAACCATTTGTTAAATAGACTTAATTTAGATCCCTCCAAGCACAGTCGGTTTTTCACTAAAAGAGTTTAGACGTAAACTCGTAGGTTCGAATCCTGGTACAGCCAATTTTATTTCTCAAACAATATACATGTATGTATCTTCATAACGTGGTTTTTGTTAGGAATCGAACTAGAGACCTTCTGATCGGTAGCTCGGCATCTATACCAATACACCACAGCTCACAGACTTATGAAGTTAACAAAAATATCGATATATTCGTTTTTTTTCTCAATGACCTTTACGAAAGTTTATGAAGTGCGAGGTCAATTTTGTTGGACAATGGTTTCCGCCTTTTTATCTTCGTCATTAATTACATAATAAAGATTATACAAAACATTGACGTAACTTCCGTAAAGACAGTAACGAACGTAAATGTTACAATGAAAAAAAAAACGATTAACCATAAAAAATCTATGTTTCATTCTAATTATCATATTGTCATATCAATCATATGAATAATTTCGGATGTTTCGAGATTCTACAAAATGACTTACAATTGTCCATAGTACAAGTTCCTTTGTTCTTAAATTTCAGCAGAATATTAACTTGTTTATCAAGCACGACCTATTAGAATATAGATCGCGGCGTGTTATCTCAACTATTGTATAAGGTCAAGATCTTATCAGTTCTTCACTAAGATTACACATTTAATTTCACTGTCTTAACTTTATTTACTTAAATAAGTTGAATACGAACATCAGAAATGGAAGCATAATTAGCTTAACCCAACATCCTGCCGGTAGCTTTACAACAAAACAGCTTGGTACCAGGCCAGATACCGAGTAACTCAGCCAAATATCTTGGTATCAGGCAAGATACCGAGTAACTCAGCCAAATATCTTGGGACCAGGCAAGATACCGAGTAACTCAGCCAAATATCTTGGTACCAGGCAAGATACCGAGTAACTCAGCCAAATATCTTGGTATCAGGCAAGATACCGAGTAACTCAGCCAAATATCTTGGTACAGGCAAGATACCGAGTAACTCAGCCAAATATCTTGTACCAGGCAAGATACCGAGTAACTCAGCCAAAATATCTAGGTACCAGGCAAGATACCGAGTAACTCAGCCAAATATCTTGGTACCAGGCAAGATACCGAGTAACTCAGCCAAATATCTAGGTACCAGGCAAGATACCGAGTAACTAAGCCAAATATCTAGGTACCAGGCAAGATACCGAGTAACTCAGCCAAATATCTTGGTACCAGGCAAAGATACCGAGTAACTCAGCCAAATATCTTGGCACCAGGCCAGATACCGGTAACTAAGCCAAATATCTAGGTACCAGGCAAGATACCGAGTAACTCAGCCAAATATCTTGGTACCAGGCAAGATACCGGGTAACTAAGCCAAATATCTTGGTACCAGGCCAGATACCGAGTAACTCAGCCAAATATCTTGGTACCAGGCCAGATACCGGGTAACTAAGCCAAATATCTAGGTACCAGGCAAGATACCGAGTAACTCAGCCAAATATCTTGGTACCAGGCAAGATACCGAGTAACTCAGCCAAATATCTTGGTACCAGGCAAGATACCGAGTAACTCAGCCAAATATCTTGGTACCAGGCAAGATACCGAGTAACTCAGCCAAATATCTTGGTACCAGGCAAGATACCGAGTAACTCAGCCAAATATCTTGTACCAGGCCAGATACGAGTAACTAAGCCAAATATCTAGGTACCAGGCAAGATACCGAGTAACTCAGCCAAATATCTAGGTACCAGGCAAGGATACCGAGTAACTAAGCCAAATATCTAGGTACCAGGCAAGATACCGAGTAACTCAGCCAAATATCTTGGTACCAGGCCAGATACCGGGTAACTCAGCCAAATATCTTGGTACCAGGCCAGATACCGGGTAACTAAGCCAAATATCTAGGTACCAGGCAAGATACCGAGTAACTCAGCCAAATATCTTGGTACCAGGCCAGATACCGGGTAACTCAGCCAAATATCTTGGTACCAGGCCAGAAACCGAGTTATTCAGCCAAACAGCTTGCTACCAGACAAGACAACGAGCTACTCCGCCAAACAACTTGATACCAGGCAAGACACCGACTTACTCAATAAAATAGCTTGGAACCACGCAAGACACAGACCAACTCAGTCAGAGCTTTGTACCAAGCAAAAAACCGAGTAGCTCATCCAAAAAGCTTGGTACCAGACAGGTAACCGAGTAACTCATCCAAATAGCTTGATACCAGGGAATACAACGAGTAACTCATCCAAATAGCTTGATACCAGGGAATACAACGAGTAATTCAGCCAAACAGCTTAGTACTAATTTAGACACCGAATAACCAGGCACGTAATATGTTGTCGAAAGACGAACGTGCACATGATTTTTTAACAGTACAGGTTTGTTTTGTTTTTTTAGTTTTTTTGTCTTTGTTTTTTGTTTTTGTGTTATTTTTTTTTCTGTTTCTTTTTTGTGCACAAGCATATATTTTTATCGCATTAAAAGACTATCCTGAGGACTGTTAAGGAAATGGTGATTTTTTTAATATGCTGATCATCTTGAAAAAAAAATGGTATTCAATAAAAAATCCATGTTGTTGTACATGTATATTGAATAATGTACGGTGTCCCGTTAGGGCCATAGCGACACACACATTACTCGAAACAACGGAAAGACAAAAACTACGATGTTGATAAGTCAAAATAACGAAACTACGATGATGAAAAGTTGAAGATACGATGATGAAAAGTCGGAAAAATAAAACATTAATGGTGTTGTTTGCTCGATTATCGGAGTGAGTTTCAAGTTATAACTATTGTTTCTAGTTTAGAGTACACGTGCACTTAGTCACAAAGTCACACACATCTGCGTATATTTGTAATTTCAAATTTCGCTATCTTCATTTATATCTGTTGAATTCTGCTGTAATTAAGTTGGTGTGGACGATGGGTAGATGGAATTTATTTGCTTTGAGTGAATGCATAGGCAATACATGTCTACACACCGAGACCCAACTTTTATACAATGTGAGTATTTAAGATGCATGTTGATATGGTAACCAGGTTATTTTCTCACGTGTATGTAAGATATAAATTAAATTCACAAAAAAAACCCTCAAAGAATATTCCTTTTTTTCTTAACAAATAACTAAAGATTAAATAGATCTATATTTGATATACCCCTTCTAGTTTCCTCCGATTTCGTTTTGACTCAAAACACGATAATATGCGGTTCCCGGTACCACACTGTGATTATGCCTATTCGATGTAAAAGTAAAATTCATATTCCACCAAATCCATGCGGATATAGTTAACATATCACCAGATTCTATGAAAAAACTCAAAAAGTTGGACAATTGGTTTGTTTTAAACATATTTATTTAACAAGTTCTTGCAACTTATATTAATCACTTTCGAGTCCGCTTCCTGAAAACCAACCAGTACTGGTGTCATATGAAGAAACTTGATCTCTTCCCAATAGGGCTTGAACCCTGGATACCTGGGTTGAGAGCCAGAGGCCACCGCTCACTGTGTATAATAAAGATATTTAAGATTTTCAATATTTTTTACCCCAAATTACCTTGTAATAGACAATAATTGACATATAAATAAAATTCAGCTGAAAATTAGGATAATATCACCTTAATACTACACCGATATATTATATAATACATTTGAGCCGCGTCACGACAAAACAAACGTAATGCGTTTGCGACCAGCATGGATCCAGACCAGCCAGCGCATCCGCGCAGTCTGATCAGGATCCATGCTGTTCGCTATCAGTTTCTCTACTTGTAACAGGGTTGGTAAGCGAACAGGATGGATCCTGATCAGACTGCGGGGGAAAGGCAGGCTGGGCGGGGTCCTGTGGGCGCAAACCCCCCTTTTGTTGGTTTTGTCGGGCGCGGTATTTTAAGCTTTTAACCCTTGTAAGCAAATATGTTTTAACCCGGTGTTGTGTTTAAAAATAAATAGATTTAAAACGCAGATTTAATCCCAAAGGGTTGAGAAATAAGTCGCTTAACAAATTTTTCTTAAGGTCGGTCTGTTAACATCGGCGAGAAAAATTATCCGTGTTTAAAAGGATAAAAATCCAAAAAGTACAGATCTGCGGGATTTTTTTTCTTTTTTATCTATGCGTTATATTATAGAATATTTAATTTTATGTTGTAAAAGTTTTTTTATTTAAAAGGTATGGGGCATTTTCTGCCAAGATAACCATACATGTTAAATAGCTAGTTAAAAAAGTTAATAGTTTGAAGTAGTTTAATTTTTAAAAAAAATGAAAGATCATAACGGGAAATAAATGCATGTCAGTGCCTACAACTGTATCGAGATGTTGTGTTATACAAACCTGCTAAAGTTTTAACGAGACTTTAAACGGTTAAATAAAAGAGAAAAAAAAACACTTTAAGCAGTCAGCAAGTCTTTTTCTTCTCGGCAGTAAACTGAATAAAATGCAAATGTGTGTCACTATAAGATAAGCATATGTTTACTGTATGTATTAGTGAGATATCTATGTTTACTGTATGTATTAGTGAGATATCTATGTTTACTGTATGTATTAGTGAAATATCTATGTTTACTGTATGTATTAGTGAGATATCTATGTTTACTGTATGTATTAGTGAGATATCTATGTTTACTGTATGTATTAGTGAGATATCTATGTTTACTGTATGTATTAGTGAGATATCTATGTTTACTGTATGTATTAGTGAGATATCTATGTTTACTGTATGTATTAGTGAGATATCTATGTTTTACTGTATGTATTAGTGAAATATCTATGTTTACTGTATGTATTAGTGAGGTATCTATGGGTTTTACTGTATGTATTAGTGAGATATTCCTATGTTTACTGTAATGTATTAGTAAGTATATCTCATGTTTACTGTATGTATTAGTAAGAATATATATGTTTACTGTAATGTATTAGTAAGATATCTATGTTTACTTGATTTGATATTATGAGATAAACTATGTTTACTTGTATGTATTCAGTGAGATGTGTGTTGTGGTTACTGTATTATTAGTGAGATATCTATGTTTACTGTATGTATTAGTAAGATATCTATTTTACTGTATGTATTTTAGTGAGATATCTATGTTTACTGTTGTATTAGTGAGATATCTATGTTTACTGTAATGTATAGATTAATATCTATGTTTACTGTATGTATTAGTGAAAGATATCTATGTTTACTTGTATGTATTCAGTGAGATTATCTATGTTAACTGTAATTATATTAGTGAGATATCTATGTTCTGTATGTTTAGTGGGATACTGTATGTATTTAGTGGGATATCTATGTTTACTGTATGTATTAGTGACGATTATCTATGTTTTACTGTGTGTAAATTAGTGAGGTATCTATGATTTAATCGTGTGTATTTAGTGAGATATATGTTTACGTATGTATTAGTGAGTATCTATGTTTACTGTATGTATTAGTGAGATATCTATGTTTACTGTTATGTTATTAGTGAAATATCTATGTTACTGTATGTATTAGTGGAGATATACGTATGTTCTTTACTGTATGTATTAGTAAGATATCTATGTTTACTGTATGTATTAAGTGAATATCTATGTTTTACTGTATGTATTAGTAAGATATTCTATGTTTACTGTATGTATTAGTGAGGGATATCTATGTTTACTGTATGTA